GAAGGAATTTTCAGAAAATCTGTGATAGGACAAAGACTTGAAAATAATACAATCAATATTCCTCCTATAACAGAGGCTTCTAGTCAAGGCAGACAGTTATCATATGTACTGGTAGAAGATGGAGCATTTCCTTTAAGCTAGTACATGATGCGCCATTACCCTGGAAATGAGTTGACAATTGAACAACAAGTTTATAATTATCGCCTGAGTAGGTGTAGAAGAGCAATTGAAATCACATTTGGCATATGGGTTTCCAGGTGGAGAATTTTTCGCAAGCCAATAATTGCTCACCCCAATACTGTGAATAGTATTATCAAGGCAACAGTGTGTTTGCATAATTATATAAAAAGTGAAGAAGTGAAAAGGGGATCCTGTTGTTATGCTCCACCTGCTTTAATTGATAATGAATCACTTGATGGGACATTAAGACCAGGGGATTGGAGGAACACTGTTTCCACAGGATTGGAAGATATAAAAACTATTGGTACACGAAATTATACTGGAGTTGAAGCAGCTTACAGAAGAGAATTCACAGATTACTTCATGGAGGAAGGAATAGTTGAGTGGCAGTGGAAAAGTATAAATAAATAACTACTTGAAAATGTTTCTTTATAAATTCAGCAATAAATATTGAAAGTTTCAATGAAGCTGTTGTTCAGTATCTCATCTGGCCTTTCCCATAAATCCTCTATTTTATGAATATTGATTCAATTTTCAAGTTAGAGGGTGAAATTAAAAATAAACACTCATATAATGATTAAACCCTCTAATGTCCCTGTGTATTGGATTATTATAGTATAAGCATTCATGAGTTCCAAGGTTGTTCTCAAGTTGGTTCTGTGAATCTATGGATCCGTGGTGTGAAGTGCCGTTCGGTGTCTGGCCTAGAGAGGGGGGCGCCACATCAAAAAAGGACAGTCTTGTCTGGTCTGTCATGTAGTCGTAGTCTTTAAAATGTATTTTTGTATCAATCCTCTGTGGGGAATAAAAGTCAGTAGTGTTAGCAGTACACTACATAATTTGGCGACGAGTCAGAGCGAAACCACCGCCAAGTGTGAGTAAATAAATGTCAGTTTCACCACCAATACGTCCGTTGCTGCCTCTGTCTCAGCCAACGCCATCGCTATCAGAAGGTGTGGTCAAAATGGCGTTCATTGGGACAATCCCTAATAACACACCTCAATCCATTGGACATCCATTGGACATCCTCAACCGGACATCCTGGATATCCATAGGATAACCAGTTTGTGTACATTGGACACCCTATGGATATCCATAGGAAATCGGCTTTCCACATTTTAGGACATACATACGTTATCCAGTATGGACATCCATTCGGTATCCATGATGGACATCCATTCGGTATCCATGATGGACATCCATTGCGTGTCCATTATGGACATCCATATGGTATCCATATTGGACATATATACAGTATACATATTGGGTACTATGTATCCGTATGTACTGAAATATACAGGGTGTTTCATAATTGAATGTCCATAATGAATTTGGCATTATTTTTGAAAAATTGTCTTTACTCCATAATTACTTTAGTTACCCTTTTTCAAAGCTCGGTGGGATCAAACAGTTGTACAGAAAAATGTATTTCCAGTATTATTAATCGTTTATCATTAATCAGTAGCACCCCAAAACAACTTTTCATGATCATTCAATTACTAAACACCAAACACCATGTATATATGTGATAGATTTCAGTATAAATTTAACTCGAAATTATCTAAATGATGTTTTTTCATGAAACTTTGGAAAATAAAGTATGGAAGCAAGTTCGCAATATAAATGTCAACGCCTGACTGCTCCAATTGTGCTTGACTGTTCGAATTATTGTGCTTTTCGCCCGGTCATCAGATTCGCGTTGGACCCAGTCTCCGAGGAGGTGATGAAATCATCAGTGGCGGGTTCTTGAAAGCTAACACGGCCTTCCTGACTTGAGGGCGTCCTCGCACTAACTCGAATGAAACGGCTCAACTGTGGAAAGAAAAACGAATAATTAAATCACACCATTACAATAGAAAAGATTATCTGACAGCTTTGTACTAAAAGTAGTTCTGTCAAATTATCTCTCTTATTTTTAGCTCCGTACTAAAAGTACTAACTATCACTAACTATACCAGCTCCGTACCGAAGGTACTAACTGTTGTATGTTCTTAGCTACCAGCTCCGTACTGAATGTACTAACTGTTGTATGTTTTTAGCTACCAGCTCCGTACTGAAAGTACTAACTGTTGTATGTTCTTAGCTACCAGCTCCGTACTGAAAGTACTAACTGTTGTATGTTCTTAGCTACCAGCTCCGTACTGAAAGTACTAACTGTTGAATGTTCTTAGCTACCAGCTCCGTACTGAAAGTACTAACTGTTGTTTGTCCTTAGCTACCAGCTCCGTACTGAAAGTACTAACTGTTGCTTTATATCTCCATAGCTACCAGCTCCGTACCAAAAGTACTAACTGTTGCTGTAATTATCAGTAACTACCGGTTCCGTACTGAAAGTACTAGCCGTTGTTTCAATTATCTTCATTTTTTCATGTGCCAACAATAACAACAACGTATACACGATTACCTTATAGAGGCCAAGCACGCAGCTACTCATGTGCAGCTACAGTCGTCCACTGAAGTCCATTTAAACGTCTTAAGGCATACCTTTCGTTTTGTAGACAATGAGTCACCTCAAGAGGTCCCTGAAATTTAGGCTTCAATTTCCCACCTGAAGCGAACTGACTGTCTTGTACTGCAACCTGTTGTGTACGGCACTGCGGCTATCCTTTTCTTATTAAAGTCTGCCTCGGTCTTTTCTCGAACGGTTTTCAGTCGTCTAATCACTCGCTCTCGAAGTTCATCATAATCGACGACCTTGTGCTGCATCGGCAATTCGGCTAAAAGCTGGCTGGAAGCTGCTAACCGGCAAGTTGACCCAAACAACAGTTCATATGGTGATTCGTTGATTTATTGACCGTCACATGCATTTTTCAGTATTTCTTTCACTGTGGTAGCTAAAATAAACTTTACTTGCTCGTCCAATCCTGACAAAATAACATCATCAATATCCCGGGTACGCAGGCTCATAATACGAGGAACATAATGCCATAGATCGTGAACCATGTTTGCACCGTTAGCAGTGACCTCCCCTTCGATTCCGGGCCTTTGTAACACATCAAGACCAACCAGTGCATTAATATCTCCACCTGGAATAGTTCCGTCTGGTACTACTATAAAATCGATTTCCAGTGTCATATTTGGTATAACGTTCTAATAGGACGTGTCATACTATTTCCCATTCCTGTTAATAGCTGGAAATCAGCTGACTGAATGTCTAAATGTAACACTTTAGCGACCTTCTCATGAAGAATTGATACGTCAGCAGCTGTATCGACTAAATACGGAACTGACAGAATGTTTCTATCGTGTGTTATTGTCGCATTTGGGGAATGACCTGATGACGCGAGATTACGCTTCGTGTCACTTTGTTTGCGGTGGCATCTCTCTTCTGTATGGCCTATATTCTTACAGTATTCACATCTAGACTTCACATCCGTGATTGAAACATTTTGTTTTACTCCAGAGCTTGTGGGAGCGTTTTGTTCAGAACTAAAAGTGCGGCGGATCTACTGTTTACAATCGGATTGTTTATGTCCGTATTGATTGCACTTTCGACACTTTCATGGGAAACTCGATGATGATATTGAAGCACGTGGACGATAAGGAGGAGGGTTATACTGTTGTTTTCGTAGACGGTCTCGGGATTTAAGATAATTTTTAGATGCTACCCCTTTTTCCGTGACATTCCGGGCATCGCACACTGCCAATAATTTCAGCAAGTCCGTTTCACATGACGTTGCATGAAGACAGATTCTGTTCTTGACTTCCGAATCCTGTACATCATATTTAAGATGGCTACAAGGACTCGAATAAAAGGATTTAATGGCAGCAATTTTAGCGTTTCCATATTCCACCAATGACGCAAAGTCGGAACTTTTGATCGCCAAACATGCCAGAATTCTAGTTGCCGGAGTTCCTTGTTCTGGGAATGCCACTTCAAAATCGCGGCGAAATAAAACCCAATCCCGCACCAAAAGTTTCCAATGTTTATAAAATCTCGCCGCTCTACCTCGTAAGGCGTCCCCGGCTTTCAAAACAATTAAAGTGTCCGATAAGCAAATTTCCTGCTGAATACGAGTGACCTCATCCATCCATTCGGTCATGGTGAAGGGGGTATCGTCGGGATCAAAAGTTGACAGCTTGATCTGCGCAGAACCTACGAAGTTGTTTTCCTGACTAAGCGCAATTTGTTTGGAACTGGGCGAGGCCGTTTCCACTGGAATCTGTTGGGTAGCCATTGTTGTTAAAACCTTAATCATCTGATTTTGGAGCTGTATATTATTCCTCTGCTGCAGTTCCCACATTTTCATCATGTTTCTGTTTATATTGCTTTCGCTATCACTGTCACTGTACTCACTAACGAGGCTCTGTGCACTTTTGTCCGCCATTTTTCCACACAAAAGGATATTTTCTCGACAAGATTTTGTCCTTCCTCCTTCGATTTTGGGCTCAAAGAAGGTATCCCACTTCTGATGATAGATTTTAGTATAAATTAAACTCGAAATTATCGAAATGATGTTTTTTCATGAAACTTTGGGAAATAAAGTATGGAAGCAAGTTCGCAATATAAATGTCAACGCCTGACTGCTCCAATTGTGCTTGACTGTTCGAATTATTGTGCTTTTCGCCCGGTCATCAGATTTGCGTTGGACCCAGTCTCCGAGGAGGTGATGAAATCATCAGTGGCGGGTTCTTGAGAGCTAACATATGTATATTAAAGAAGAGACTATTGACTTTGAAACATGTTATTTATTAATCAACAATAAAATACAAAATGAAAATATATTCTAAAAAAAACGAACAAAAATGTACAAAAATATTATTTTGCCTGAATACATATATGTGAATAAACTCAGAATGCATTATTCTTTGCCAACACCCTAATGAGATTTCTTGTTTGAGCCCAGTCTTTCTCTCGCCCTTCTCAAATATTTCTTTATGGCGTCTTCAGCTTGCTTCACATCCCATGAAGCAATGCATTTCTCAAAGGCCTCTGTGGAATATATTTTTTTCATATTTCAACCCTACTGATATAAAATAATGCATGAAACCTATCATTATACTCACTGAGCAAAACATCAGCTAATTTAGTTTTAACTAGAGCTTCTTTTTCTTTCGTGCCAAGCCAGGTATATTGCACAGCCATTTCGTTTGTCAGCAGTCTTCCAAAGACCCTTCTTGCAAATTCATATGGGGAACCTTCACCTATTCTCGATATTTCATGTATCTGAAATGAAATGTATGTGAATGAATAGAATTTGAAAAACCCAATAAAGCAATGCCACTTACAGATGCTATGAAGTATTTTTCTTCAGATAAAAATTCTTCGAATTGCTTCATTTTTTCAGCACAGTCTATGGGTAAATCAACATTTTTGAAAAGAGAAGTATAATCCTCTGTGTCTGCTTTATTGAAAACGCCCTGATTTCCAATACTTTTCATTTCTTCTGAAATTTTTCGAACTTCATTGACCAGGTCAAATATCATTGTGGTAATCATATTCTGTTTCCTTGATAAGTACTTGAAATTGTCAGAAACTATCGTTTTTATGTCTTCCTTCATAACAGATAATGCCTCAATATCTGGAAAGTGAATTATTTCATTTTTGAAAGTTAATGTCCATTCACATTGCATCGTTGAAAATAATTACTTAATCGCTCACAATGATAAATTCGGATAAATTACCTTTCTTGTTGTGTATCAAACAGCATCCACAGTCAAATTCAAGAACGATATCTGATCTAGCAATTACTTCTTGCTGTTGTATATTATTCGAAGTGACTTCAGCGATAGTGTTCGGGAATTTGGCATTGGTGTTCGCGGCAGGTAATATCTTGTCTGTAACAAATATGTTATGATATGAATAGTTGAATGAATGAAGAATGAATAGGCAAACTAGAGGACATTTCATAACTTGAAACAATTGATTAAACATGACATTTTTTATTTACTTCTTGTTTGATTTCTCTCAATTCAAAATGCCACTAGTTCATCTTTCTTACCACATTCGGGATACATATATACAGGGTGACTCACGGTCGATGGTAAGTTAGACGTTTATGGAGAACGCAAGGAAGTATTGTTCTGAAAATCTTAAATTTTGCCACATGTTCTATCGATCTAGAATAAATATAAAATTGCGACGTTGCCGCTTCTATCGAAAAGTCCCAGCAACTTCATTTTTTAAAAATGGAACACCTATATTAACAAATTTTTAGATTAGCCTCCTTATTATCTTTTGTTGATAATTCTGTATACATATCTCTATCAGTTAAAGTAATTTGTGTCGAATATGGTCCAAAACATATCCTTAATTGAACACAAGCAAATTAAGGCTCTGAATTCATGAAGAGTTGATATTCCGGAGGTGGTTTGGAGAGGCTTGATGTATTCAATTCACACCGAGAAATCGCCTCAATTATAGGGCCTGCTGAAATTATTATATGCGTTGTTGATATAGGTGGTCAAAAGTAATTTTTTTTTTAAATGGAACTTCCTTTTTTCTTTATTTGATAAATCGAAAAATGAAGAAAAATTGTACCATCGAACGAGAGTCAACTGAACTGAGTTGGCCGACTCGTTTGAACACCCCTGTATAGAAATATTGTTCTCACTTGAAAAAATTCGAAAGCATCATGAGTCAGGAAATTATAAGAAAAAAAAAATTACCCAAATGAAAAAACATAATGAAAAGAGGAAGGGACCAAAGGTTTTCAATTGCTTGATAAGAACATTATCAAACTCATAAGCATATAGGTACAATTTTCCACATTAATATCAAATCAAATAACTTCTGGACCTCACTAAAAATAATAAATTTAATTCTAATAAAATATACCTCCCTACTGATAATCAGTGTTGAAAAAAGTGGTTTCAGAATAACATTGAAATTCAAGGATTTTTTATAAAAATCTGAGAATATAATTTCACCTTGTAATTCGGAGGATTTCCCAATTTTCGACGTTCTCTGAGGGGGATCTGCAATGTTACTAATTTCACCTTCATCCTCTGAAGAGGACATTACTATTTTTTTACGATTCTTTCTACTGTCTTTATCTTCACTACAGTCACTGCTATCATACTCTGCAGTTTTGGCTCTTCTACGAGCATCAAGGTAAGAATCTAAAAAGACAAGTTTCTAAAAATTGAGCGTGTTTGTTATATTTGCAAAAATGATATTATTGTAATAATAATAATAATATTAATAATAATAATAATGATCATTTCTTGAAAAAAAAAAATCATTACAATGTTTTTTCGCTGAGGTAAGATTTAGAAACAAGCATTAGAAAGACCCATTAGAACCACAGGGTCGAGCGCGGGTTGGCCAAAATGAACAAGTAAATTTAAGTGTTCAGTGATGAAACATAAATTTGCTTCTTACCAAAAGTTCCATTTCTATATAAAGAAACTTTATGGGTGGGCCAACAAGTATTAGGTTGCTCATGGTTTCGTATTGCAGCAACAACTTTTTCGGTCGTGTACGTCGGCCAATAGCAGTACAGACCTATCAACCATGAAGTTGGTACAGCTTCAACTGTGTTCTCTTCTATGAATCTCACAACAGTCCAAGTTCTATCCATACTTTGTCTAAAAAAATTGTTAACAAAAAAGCATAGCAGAAAGTAACAAGATAAAAAAGGTATCATAATCTTGTTGAAATTGAATATTATTCATACCTAGAAGAGACCAACACAAAAATTATCTTTACTCAAGGAGGATATAGATTTTTCATGATGTATTAAATTATGAAATGAATGGATAAGTTTTCGTTGGTAGACTTTGGAAATATGCAGTGTGTCCCGCTTATAGATGCTATGAAGTACAATAACTCTAGTATTTTGGAGTCATAAAATGATAAATCAATCACTATAGGCGACATACACTGTATATCTACCAGCATTGATTGAAATTTTAACTTATGAAATAAAGTATTTCATTCTACACCTTTTCCAGTTGTACTTCAGAAAGCGTCAATTGAGTACCAAATGATATTTTCTGCAATAAAAATGACATTTTCTGAAAGTCAATTGAATATTCTAAAAAACAATGGACATTTTCTGAAATTAAATTGACTATTCTGAAATACAATTGACGGTTTCTGAAATTCAAATGACTATTCTGAAATACAATTGACGCTTTTTGAAATACAAGTGACTATTCTGAAATACAATTGACGCTCTCTGAAATTCAATTGAATACAATAAATTGACGCTTTTTGAAATTCATCTAGAAAAGGTGTATTCTCTACTAGAATCAAGTATTTTAATTGAATCGATTTAAATTTCAATCAATCTAAATGTAATAGTGGAAAAACAACATAGCTATCATTATATAACAGTTTCATACATTTTTGTGAAATTTCAGTGAGAGGCCCAGTCTCAAGTGGTCCAAGATTGCTGCACAAATAAATGCCTATCTCCGAAGAATTACAGGGAATATTATAAAAATCATTCAATTCTAGGAATTTTTGGCCAATAAAAAGTATTTTATTTCCTTCAGAACTCACTATGTTTTTGATTATGATGATGTCATTACCAAATTTACAGCAATTATCTGGTTCAGAAGAGCTCAACATAAAATTATTGAAGAGTATTTTTTTGTAATGATTTTCCACTGTTAACTTTATTAATGGTCCATTGGTATGCTCATTGCGCAACTGAGGATAGTTCTCATTTTCACTTTGTACATTCACCAAATTGGCCTCATGCTCACTTATTCTATGAACGATTTGTTGTAATGGTTTGTCTCCCTTTCTTAACATATTCTTGAAATACTGCATATGGTTTTCAAGAGGAAACGCACTAAAACCATGTACAGGGCCAAATTTTTCAACATCCTCGGTAATATGTAACAAGTTGTGAATATTGTGTGATATGTTCTGTGAACCATACAAAATGAGGAAATTTTTCACAAAATATTTCAGCAGTTCTTCTGCGTAATTGATGTCTTCAATGGATTTACAGTGCGACAAGAGACGGAATGCAACATGAAGGCTCAAAAAATGTGTATATTCATCATTAGCTATATTATTTTTCAAAGCAATTGGCCCAGTGTAAAATAAAAATAATCTGAATTCTACAGCCTTCCATCTTTTTGAATCGTTTAGAGAACGTGGTTTACGATTGAACTCTTTAGGGATGAATGGAATTTGTTCTAGTAATACTCTGGAAATTTCTGAGGATTGATGAAATGATAATTTAGTTTTTGGTTTACCATTGAGCCAAAGGTTTACAATTAATTTCTTAACTACACCAAGACAAACCAAATGCATGTAATCTAATGGGAAAGTTTCAATCATGTCAATGCCAGGAAGTGTCTCTAATATTGATGTGCCAGTGTGATGGCTCTCTTGAATTTTTGCTCTAAAATTGAAATCACTCCTCAACTGTAAATTATCAATTTCGGGAAAGCATATGCGATTATCAATGTATACACCTTCAGTGAAACACTTGGTACATGACATGTAACCACTATGACCTCTACAATATTTTATGAAAGACTTGGCTGGGACATCACATATAATTCCTTTGATTTTAATTTGATAAATATGACTATTATATTCGAATCCATTAGTTAAAACGTCCATAGCTTCTTGAACAAAGGGAGTGAGAAAATTGTTTGCATCTTTAGGTTTCTCATTTCCATGATATAAACCAATAATGCCTACAGTGTTTTTATTCAAAAATAGATTGCATAAAATTGGGTAAACTTGACTGCCAGAGCTTTTAGACAATGGTAAACCATCAACATTTAAACAAATCTCTACAGGGTTTGACAACTGAACTGATATTGGTAACATTCTAAACAATCTTTCAAGACAATGTTTAAAGCCAAAATGAAAATATTTTCCAGGTTCTACAACTTGGACAGTTACTTTTCTTGGAGTAGATAATAAACTTCGAGCACTAGCTGGAATGGGAAAGTTAGATAATGTTGTTATCAATGATAACAAGTCATTAATTGCAACATGGGAGAGATATGCCGTAATGCCCATGTTGCTAAAGGGTGAACTATAGTTTGAGGTTCAGTTCGTACTTCTTCAAGTGGAAATGAATCATTGGAATGGAAATCTTCTGAAGTTTTATGTTCATATTCACTCAAATCTGATGAATTATCAATTTCTAATGTAACATTATTTTCAAGCAATACTCCCCCTGGTGAGTCAGTGACACTACAGCTGGGCCCCGGGCCCCCATATTCCTCATGTCTTGTTTCAGCTCTAATTATATTCATAGTCTCAGTCGGACGTGAATCATCTAATGAACAACATTCATTCAGTGGTTCCACAAATGCATTCTCATCTGTTGTCGTCAAAAGGTTGTCAATATCAGATATAAGTTTCGCTCTTTTATAGTACTTGCTGGGGTAAACTGCTTGTTTCAAATCCTTTTTTTTTTCTGTTCATTTTGGTGAAGGAAGTTTCACCTACATATCCAAGAATGATTGTGATAAGTTATCATGAGAATTCGCTATTAATTGTATTATTATGATTTGTAATTATACCTACCCAAATGAATATAAGCTACACCTAGATTGACACAGAAATATGTACTTACTTGGCTGTATAATGCTGTGAACTGTAAACCATAAACAAACTACACTAAATTTATCTATGCTGTAAACTGAGGATTCAACTTCGAAATACTGGAAATATGCACGAAATATACTGGAAAAATGCTGGAAATAATAAACAACGCCCAAAATTGCAAAGCCTACCACCAAAACACGAATAAGCATAACCTAAAACAATTGTGACTCATGACAGATGAATTCAGATTCTCTCTTCTCATTTTTTTTTCATTCAGAATTTCTCGCAACAATGGATATCCGGACAATAATTCTATGGATGTCCAATTTGTGATGCAAAGTATCCGTTGATGGACATCCTAATGTATATTTGATTCGCGTCCATGGACATAAATCAGCTTCCAGATGGAATACACATTTGAACATCAGATGGATATCCAGCGATGCACATCAAAAGATAGTTCCATTTGGTGTCCATGGATGTCTCGGACTTCAAATGGATATAAAATGGATGCCCTCTGGATAACGTGTGTTGTTAGGGATAGAGCCGTTTAGTCCAAAGGAGTCTGATATTGCTTCGTACATGGAACGAATGGAGCAACTTTCCGGGTGTAACGATATAAGAGAGGAAAAAAAGTGTCGATTTTCATCACACTCATAGGAGGTGAGGCTTATGGTGTTCTTAAAGATCTAGTAGCGCCCTCCCTTCCAAGTACAAAAACCTTCCAGCAATTGAAAGATGTGTTAACCAGTCATTATTGTCCGAAGAAGTTGATAATCGCAGAAAGATAGTTTTATTCTGCTCAACAAGAGTCAAATGAGGATATAAAAACTTCTGCAGCCAAACTGAAGAACTTGTCGGAGTCATGTGAGTTTGGTACATTTCTAGATGAAGCCCTCAGGTATAAGTTTGTTTGTGGCATCAAATCAGAAAATGTTAAACGCTGATTGCTCAGTGAAGATAATCTCACCTGGGTGAAATCATACCAAATTGCAGCCAGCATGGAGCTTGCAGAAGGGCAAACTCGAGCTATGGGCTCCGATATATCAGTCAATAAGGTCAGTCAGAATGTAGCACGAATACCTTATAAACCTAGTCAGTCATCAAGTCAGTCATCTGGTCAATCATCAAGTCAGTCAACAAGTCGATCATCGAATCAGTTTTACCCACCAAGACACAACAATTTGAAACCATGTTTTCGTTGTGCTAGAAGGCATGATCCGGGAAGTTGTCCTGCTAAAAATTGGGAATGTTTCAAGTGTCATAGAAAAGGTCATACTAGCAGAGTTTGCAGGAGTTACACTGTAAATGTCTTGGATGTGTCGGATGGGGGAGAAAATGTATCAGCAGAGTTGAAGGAAGATTGTGACTCCCTTGATTTAGGATACATTTTGAATATTCAGTCAGAAAATGAAAGGTCACTCAAGGTGATACTGAAAATAGAAGGTACACCTGTGGAATTCGAAGTTGATTCTGGTGCCTCGAAAACTGTCATTCATAGGACATTTTATGAAGAATTCTTATCATCATTAGAATTATACCCAGTAGATTATAATCTCAAAGTTGTAACGGGAGAAAAAGTTAAAATATTAGGAGAAATTGATGTTAATGTTTGCTAAGATGATAATGTACATTTCTTAACTTTAGTTGTTCTACACCTTTTCCAATAGTAATTCAGAAAGCGTCAAATGCAATTCAGACAATATCATTTGTAATTCAGATTAGTTAATTGAAATTCAGAAAATATCAAATGTAATTCAGAATTGTCAATTGATATTCAGAATGCGTCATGTGTAATTCAGATAAATCAACTGAAATTCAGAAAGCGTCAGTTAAAATTCAGAAAGCGCCAATTGAAATTCAGAAAGCGTCATTTATAATTCAGAATGCTTCATTTGTAATTCAGAATGGGTCAATTGTAATTCAGAATAGTTGATTAACATTCAGAAAGCATCATTTGTAATTCAGATTAGTCAATTGAGTTTTAGAAAATATCAATTGTAATTCAGATTAGTCAATTGAAATTCAGAAAATATCAATTATTGTAATTCAGAAAACACCATTTGTAATTCAGAAATATGGAACAGTGTTACCTCTGAATGCAGGCCTACCTACAATACACCATTATCAAAAGTACCTACCTACTGTGTATATCCTATTGTCCTGGAAACAAATATTCCAACTTCAGATAAACATACATCATTTCATAGAATGAACTTCGAAATGCAGTTACAAGATTACAGCCATGTCATCATTTTGTGCATACGAGGTGTGCTTACCACTACAGAATGTGCCAGATGGTACTTGCCCACTATGCAGAGCAATTTTAACTGGACGTTTGAACTTAGAGAGAAATAGGTAGGTATTGATCCATATATTTCATTGAAACGAATTATTCACAGGTTCGTAAGACTGGATAGCCAGAGCTGTAAAACAGATACTGGCTGCAAGATGACCCAATGTACATCTCATTGGGGCAATTTAGGCAGCAGGGGTAGTAACTATGGAAAGAAGGAGAGGATCTTTTTGAATTCCCATTGACTTATCTGAATTACAATTGACGATATCTGAATTTCTATTGATGCTTTCTGAATTCCATTTGACAAATCTGAATTACAATTGAAGTTTTCTGAATTCCACTTGACTAATCTGAATTTCAATAGATTTTTTCTGAATTTCGAGTAACTTATCTGAATCACAAATTACGTAGTCTGAATTACAATTGACGCATCCTGAATTACAAATGACGATATCTGAATTTCAATTGACGCATTCTGAATTTCAATTGAAAAATCTGAATTACAACTGATATTTTCTAAATTTCAGTTGACTAATCCGAATTACAATTGATATTTTCTGAATTTCAATTGACAAATCTGAATTACAACTGACGTTTTCTGAATTTCATTTGACAAATCTGAATTACAATTGACGCTTTCTGAAATACATCTGGAAAAGGTGTAGATGGCAATAGGAGCTTTGTGCCCCTGCTTGGTAGAAATTGGATGAATATCTTGAAACCCAATTGGAAAAATATGTTCACTTCAGTTGAGGAGTCTGAAGGTTGTCAAGGTCAGTCGAGTCTCAAAAAAGTATATTCAGTGGTACAATCCAGTCAATCAAGTAAAAGTCTAGAGTCCAGCCCAGCAAGTGTTTATCCAGTTGATATTGAAATTAGTCAGTTAGTCCAAGTAATCAAAAAGAATTTTGCTGATGTCTTTATTGATGAACCTAATGCCTTTATGAAAAAATTCAAAGTAGAATTGAGAGTTGAAGAGGGTACGCAACCTATATTTCACAGGGCCTATGATATGCCATATTCTCTGAAAGATAAAGTGGAGGTCGAATTGTCAAATATGGTAAAACAGGGCATTTTAAATAGAGTAAGTTTCAGTAATTGGGCAAGTCCAATTGTCGTTGTACCAAAAAAAGATGCAAATGAATTGAGAATTTGCGTTGATTTAAAAAAAAACTGTTAATCGTGTCTTGGAATCTGATCATTGTGCTTTGCCTCTCCCAGAGGACATTTTTGCATGTTTGAACGGAAAAAAATATTTCACAGTGTTGGATTTAAAAGGTGCCTGATAGGCAATTACTGATAATTCTAAAGAACTACTAACAATAAATACCCATGTAGGTTTGTTTACATATAATATAGGCTCACTTATGGAATCAGTGCAGCACCAGGTATTTTTCAAAATGCTATGGATGCAATATTGTCCGGCTTAGCAAATACAAAATGTTATCTGGATGATATCCTAATATTTGGCTTTGATCTAAAAAATTTTCATGAATGTGTCACTAACGTTTTCAAGCGCTTAAAAGAGTATAATGTAAAAGTAAATCTGAAAAAGTGTAGATTTTATGAAAACAAAGTACAACTCCTGGGTCATGTAATAGACGAAAATGGCATTCACCCAACAAATGAGAAAATTAAATGCATTCAAGAAACTCCAACACCTAAGACACTAACAGAGTTGAAAGCATATTTAGGGTTAATTAATTACTACGGAAAATTCATACCAATGTTGTCCACCAAGCTTCAACCATTATATAATCTGTGCAAAACAGGAGTAGATATGAAGGAAAGTTAGTCAATTGATTGTCAGAAGGCTTTTGAATTGAGCAAAAAACTATTAAGTTCTGATAGTGTGCTTACTCATCATAACCCAAAATTACCCATATATCTGACATGTGATAGTAGCGGCTATGGGGTTGGAGCAATTCTAAGTCATAAAATTGATGGAGAAGAACATCCGGTTATGTTTGCCTCTAGTACTTTATCTCCAAGCGAAAAGAACTACTCCAATTTAAAAAGAGAGGCTTTAGCTCTGATGTTCGGGTTAAGAAAGTTTCATAAATATCTGTTTGCTCGAAAATTTGTCTTGATAACTGATCATCAACCATTACAATTCATCTTTGGCAAATATAGAGGTATACCAATTTCAGCAGCAGCCAGAGTAACTCGTTGGGCAATTACATTGTCTGGTTATGCTTACAGTATCGAATATAAAAAAAGGAAACTGATTTCAAATGCTGATGGTTTATCCCGCCTACCGGTTAAGGATGAAACTGGAATTCTAGATTGTATCTACTCATTCAGCTTCCACAATACTATACCATTAAATAGTGTTGACATTAATAATAGTTCTCGTAAAGATAAAGTCATTTCTAAAGTCATGGATTTGACTAGTACAGGGTGGCCCAATAATGTTTATGATGAGGAAGTCAAACCGTACTTAAAAAAAAGACGAATTATCAGTGGAACAAAATTGTTTGTTGCTAGGCAATAAAGTAGTTATACCGGAAGTTCTACGGACTAGAGTGTTAGGGTTGTTTCATGAACAACACTTAGGAATAGTTCGTACCAAAATGTTACTAAGATCATATTGTTGGTGGCCGGGAATTAACGAAGCTATTGAAAAATTCATTTCTACTTGTGAAATTTGCCAACAAACACAAATCTTCACCAGCAAAAGTTCTCTCCAATCATGGCCCTTTGCACCCAGCAATTTTTTTCGGGTGAATATTGATTTTTTCCACAAGTTCAATCACACATTCTTGATTCTAGGAAGGAAACGATAGTGAAACTCAAAGATATTTTTAGTACTATAGGTTTGCCAGTTGAATTGGTTTCTGATAATGGCCCTTCCTTCAATTCAAATGAATTTCATGTCTTCTGTCAAAGTAATGGTATAAACCCAGTGAAATCTCCGCCGTACCATCCCCAGAGTTATGGCCTAGCGGAAAGTGCAGTACAAACTGTTAAGAAAAATCTGGAAAAAATATGTTTTGCACAAAAAGGGAAGTGATGTCTGAAAGCTTGATTTTGGACAAACTAGTAAGTTTTCTGTTTAGCTATAGAAATTCACCAACAACCGTAACAGGACTCACCCCTGCTGAATGTATTTTGAAGACAAAACCAAGGACTCGATTCGATCTTCTAATATGAAAACCTAATATGTTTCAGAAATATATACCCATTAGTTCTGCTAGCAAAAGTTCAAAATTGTACTCTTTGAATGAACAAGTCTATGTTAAAAATATGCAAACCAAACTGTGGAATAAGGGTAAAATTGTGAAAATACTTAGCTATTGTACATACTTGATACTTATGGAAACAGATGATACTGTGAAATTTGTACATGCTGACAATATTTGCTCCATCAATATTACCCAAGTCGACACACAAAATCGTGAATCTGTTAAAATTGTGAATATGCCCTTATTTGAAAATGATAAAAATAATGATAAACCTAGAATCTCAAGACTAAGAGATTTCCTAGAATCTCTCAGTCTTGAGATTCTAGGTTTATCACCATCTGTTAGTGGAACATTAAACCACTTTGAGAATTACAGGTGTTGCGATAGTCTACAGAATCTGACATGGATGTCTTTTCTGTAAGCATATAGACGTAGGGGTCTATATGCACGACTTACTCGCAAGGTATGATTGATGAATCTACCATACACCTTTGCACTTAAGCCACTAGATGGCTATGAAGGCTAGATCGTCCTTCTGCCCCCTCAGGGCTTCGACTTGTTAGATAAAAATAATGTCGATAACCCGGGCAATCCAGTAGAACCACCTGTAAATGCTGGTAACAGAGAAGAGGTAACACCCAATAGTTCTACCCCTGTTAGTGTTAGTGTTGAGTTATACCTGAAATGGTGTTACCCCCATCTGATAATGTTCCATTACCCTCATCCAGGGCAAGTACAAGCAGATTGAATACCCCGTCAGTCATAAGAACTGGATTGGGTAGACAATCTAAAGCCCCCACAAAATTAGATTTGTAATGCATAATGTCTCATCTTCAGTTACAAGGGGAGAAATGTAATGTTGGGTATTGGATTATTATAGTACAAGCATTCATGAGTTCCAAGGTTGTTCTCAAGTTGGTTCTGTGAATCTATGGATCCGTGGTGTGAAGTGCCGTTCGGTGTCTGGCCTAGAGAGGGGGGCGCCACATCAAAAAAGGACAGTCTTGTCTGGTCTGTCATGTAGTCGTAGTCGTTTAAATGTATTTTTGTATCAACCCTCTGTGTGGTCACAAGTCAGTCGATTTATGGTTCAAATGTTTTATGTTAGTACACTACAGTCCCTGAGTTGATACATTCAAATACAAATGAAAATCCAGGAATAACATCATTTATCAAACAGAAATAAATCTTCGAATAAGAAACAAAATTATTTTATTCTGAGATCTGAAAGCTGAACTACTATAGGTAAATACACTTAACATATGAAATAATATCACTAAAAACTGTTGAATTCAGCATCATGCAGTTGCTGTAAAAAATTGATTTCAAGCTTGCTTAGCAATCTTCTCAAACCACTTGATAGTCTCAATGCAAAATGATCCACTTCATCCAAATTGGATTTGTTGATATTTTCAATGGCTTTGAAAAATCTGTCATCATTCTCTTCATTATTGCTTCTTTTTTTTGATGATAGAATTGATTGGGGTATGCTGGTAGGGGTTGTAGGATCTAGTGGGATACTAGATGTTGTTTCCTGAGTTTCAGCTGCCAGGTCAACAAAATTCATCTGTTTATAATATTTCCAAGTATGATCTGCTGTTGCACCAGAGCCTGATGGCTGCTTCTTTCCCTTCAGTCCCAAGTATCGATCTCTCAATGCTTTCCATTTCTTTGAAAGTTCTTGTAGTGTAATGCAGCCTCCCATAGCTTCATATATATATATATATATCTTTCCAAGGCATGTCTTTTATTGTTTTTGAACGTTCTGCCAATGGAAATTGGAAATTGTACAATGGAGGATGCTGCTCCACCAGTGAAATCAGCTGCTCCACCAGTGGAATCAGCTGCTCCTTTATGTAAACTGTATGTTCCCCAACTGTTTCACTTATATCATCATTCTCCAGAGACTTTTCAACAAATACATCTTGAGAATCATGTTCTCTATCGAATCCATGTTCTTCTAATTCCCCATTTCTAATTAATTCAAGAAAGTACTGAATTACAAATTCTCCCAGATAGCACACAATCGCCTTAGGGTCATCCTCAATGTGTCGCCAAACGCCTAGAGAGGACATTATATTTTCTACAACCTAAGAAAATCATCAGGCGCAGATTTAGCGCCGTAATTATCCTAGAAAAGTTCTTCAGTGACAGCCTGAGGCTGCAGCGGATTTCGTGCCTACGGATGTCTTCAGATGACATTCCATGAAATAACGTGTCGACGAAGCCAAAAGGAAGAAGGAGAAGAACTAGAAATACTAGAAGTGAGGTTATGATGTCTCATGATGATATTCAGAGTTGTTAAATGTGGCACAATTGTGCCAAAAGTGGCACTTCTAGCTGTGGAGTGGCACCATGGCACGCACTATTGAAAATTAGACAAAAAATGGCACTATTCCGTTATTTCGTTCTATGACTATGTTGGCCTCAGTGGTCGTTCACAAAACACCAACTACGGACTGCGGTTTTCTGTGGATTTATGTTTTATGCTCCTAGTACTGTGTGTAGTATCCTTCAGTACTATGGTCTGATCGATGGCCATAGAACTCATAGTCATAAGATACAAAAGTTCTAAACTGTCTCACTGTCTGTGGTTGCGGCACAGGGCACAGAACAGAATACATTGACATTGGGACTCTGTTTGAAGTTGAAGTTTATGTGAGGTTAAGGTTAAAAAACTGCAGAAATGGATAAGTATGCTGAGTTCTGATTTATGGGATGTTTAATAGTTTAATATTATTTATATTAGTTCCTCATATTTTCCAGATTTGTTTTCAAAATTATTACTGAACAACATAATGAAAATACCCAGTCAGATCCAGTCCCATCTACTTCTAAGGTAGCTGAGCCTGAGCCAATATCGATAATAGAGGTAGATGAGGGAGTGGATATGAGTACTTTGAGAAGGAGAACAAAAATAAAAACTTGGAACCAAGTGAAAAAACAGAGAACTCTTCACGTGCAAAAAAAAGAAAGTATATGCCCAAAATGGAGAGAATATCTAAAGACTTTCCATGGATTGATACATCAGCACAATATTTATTTTGCAAGGTGAGAAATCAAAAAATCAATGGGTCCACATTCCATTTAGAAAGACACCAGGAGACAACTTTACATAAAAAAAATATGAAGGCAGGTAGGAAGACACCACAAATTGATAAAGTTTTCATGGATCCCGTAACTCAAAAAAAAAACATTATTCAATAAGAGAAGCTGAATTGAGACTGTGTTGTTATATCAAATTTGTGAACATAGTTTACCTATGTTGTTACTCGATACTTTAACAATATTCAACAGTTCCATATATCCAGATTCGGAAATTGTTAAAGGTGTGTGTCTCAAGTGGCAAAAGGCCACAAAATTAATTGTGGGGGAATTGGCTATTTCATGGAAGAGACCATTGCTGACATCAAAGAAAACTATTTCTCAATTATTATTGATGAAACCACTGATATAGAGAGTAAAAAATCTATGGTGGTAATAGTTCGCTATCGGAAAGAAGGAAAAGTGACTGATAGACTTTTAGATTTAGAAGTCCACTCTGTCACTGGAGAATCTCTATTTGGTACTATCAAATCAATAATGGATAGAAATGGCATTCCATATGGAAAAATTATTGGTTTTGCAGCAGACAATGCCAGTACTATGATATGAGTGTGGCAAGGTGTCCAAGCAAGATTGAGAGAATTAGTTCCAAATATACCTATATGGACGAGGTTGCACACATGCCAATCATTGCACCTTTGTTCTTCAGCTGCTGCCCAGAAATTGACCAAATCAGTTGAACAGTTTGCTAGGGATCTATATAGTTACTTATCTCATAGTAGTAAGAGAATAGCTCATCTACAAGAATGCCAGATCTTCTCCAATGAAAAACCTCACAAAATGCTGTATCCAAGCCAAACTCGGTGGCTCTCATTGAAGGTATTGGTTCATATTGTGAATTGTGATAATGGTACTCTTTTAACGATCATTCATTTTATTGTATAACATCATTTTTAGGCTGTTGTTGAAATAATCTTGAAACATTGGAATTCTTTAAGGTTATTTTTCCAAAGAGAAGCTCTTGAGGGTAATTTACCCAGTGCCAGAGCTATTTTGAATGCTCTCAATAACCAAGAATATAAGATATACTTCTTGTTCTTATCTTTTGTGTTGGAACTGATCACAAAAGTTGATATAGAGCTATACAGTCAGAAACCCCAAAACTACCAATTTGTTTGAACCGAATAACTACTTTATATGAAACTATATTGAAATGTTTTATCAAAGAAACTCTCATACAAAAAATAGAGACTGAATATATAGATGTGAACAATCCCAGTAATTATGTTTCACTTGAAAATGTTTATGTTGGTGCCAAACTAGATGCTCTGATCAAATATGGAAATCTCGATCTTTCACTTTTTTTTTTATCGCTTTAATTGATTCCAGGCAGAGGGCATTGGATTTTTATGTTGAATTCTGCAATCAGGTGAAGCAAAGATTTAAATTCAATGATCCTTATCTCAAATATGCATCTAATTTTACACCTGATATGTTGCTTTATCTGGAGATGTGATGTCAATTGCTAACTTCATAAACCTTTTTCCAAATATTCAAGTTGATATTGAATCTGCAAATACAGAGTGGCAGCTGTTGGGAGAAATTACTTTAACAGGCTGTGATAAATTGAAGAAGACTGATATAAATGAATTTTGGCAAAATGTTTCATCAATGAAAAATTCATTAGGTGAACCATTGTTTGAAAATCTAATGGTGATAGTCAAGTGTATTTTGTTTTTACCCCATTCTCAGCTACAGCAGAGAGAGCTTTCTCACAACTGAATCTGACAGAAACATTCCTTCGCAATCGCCTTCTCATAAAGACGTGCAGCAGTTCTCTTAATAAAAGATAAAATGGGAACTCTCTCAGGTGGAGCTAATGAATGGAGACCAGATAAAAAATTACTAAATTATAATGTTACTATATCAGAAAAGAATGATACAGATGAGACTGATTGAAACTCTCTAGTCTTAATTTGTTTTATACATGATATTTTTATATTTTTCTTCATTTGTTTTTGTTATGTAGGGTGTTCTCGTAATAAAATGCTTGAATAGAAATGTACTATTCACTTTTATTGCGTCATCAATTCAGATATAACCATCATGGATCATGCCATGCCAAAGCCGTCCAGCACCCACCGCGCAGTCCCCTATCGATCTTTCGGAAATGCCTAACTCACTACTAGCACCGCCAGGTGCGGTGTTGCCAGAGACGCTGGATACAATATGCTGACACAACATCTCCTTCTTCAAGATAAAGAAAATATTCAACACATAAATTTTACACAACAAAGTCTTTGAGACGTGAAGGTATTTTTACAGACATTTTTGGTCTAAGAGTTGTAATGATATTTTTAGGTCTTGGCAACTCTGGCGATATGGATTTATCATTATCAGTTTCAGATTCTAATGACTTTGGTAATAATGATATTTCGCTTTTACTGCCACAATATTCTTGCGAAACATTAGAATTAGGATTCGTCACTTCACTCTGACTACTGCCAGCAAGATTGTTATTCTTAACATTATCATAATTATTGGCATCTTCTTGTTCGGAATGAGGAATAGAGACCAGGGCTGAAGGAAACTGATTTGGTTTTGTATAATATGGAGCTGGTATTAAATGCCACCTATTACGTCTATAAATGTAACCCGAATTGGATTCAATTAAATAAGAGCGAGGTTCTTCTGAGAATTCTATAATTTTCGCATATAATCTCAAATCAGTTACCCAGACATAACCTCCTACCTTCAAATCGGATAGGTTTCTTGCCTGGTGTCTGCGATTAAATTGCTTGGCAATTTTATCCTTATATCTACCTTCTTTTTCCTTGAAGGAACTTAAATCTACCTGACTATTTAACTGATTTGGCAAGATAGGAAGAAAAGATCTTATCTTCCTACTATACGATAGAGTCCCTGTATGTATAATTCCCTGTATATATTTGTCAGTTTTGTATATTTGTCAGTTTTGTTGCAATAAGAGTACGGACACTATGACAAGCGGTGACGGAAGGCATAACCCCAAATTCTC